AACGGTGTGGGTGGTGGGGTGGCGGTGTCGCCAACTTTTGAAGCCTGTTACTTCTTCTTGACGGGAAGACAAGCAAAAACCAACCCTTCGGGATTTCACTGGCGCCGCCCCAGCAGGGGTCGGCGGATAAAGTATGAGTTTGCCTGGGTGGTCATGCTCGGTATCTTCAACCGGCAGGGCCAGAAGGCAGCATCTGAGGTCCGCACATTCCTTCCTAGTTGATGATTTGTCTTTACAAGTTTCCGAACTGCTGCTTTCGGTAAGCTGCCGTGTGCTGGCATGTTGCCCAAGACACTTTGCTGTACCGTGTCGTGTCAGAGTCCACGCACCATTGCACATTGATGTGGTCGCAGGTTCAGTGGCGGCTCAACGCCTTTGCACGCGTCGTGCCTGACAAGTCCGGTTTAAGCAGGGTCGACAGCTGCAAAACGGGCAAGGTAACCGCACACTCTCAAGCGGTGGTTGTAAAGGAACCAGTGTCTTGGAGCAGGGTGACGCAGGAAGTCCATTGTGACAATCTCACTCGTGGCTGAGGCAACCTGGCATCTGGGGACTTGCCCAGGCCCTTCGTGACACCATACATCCCTGGACTTACGGTTGCTGCCTCAGGTGTTTGTGGGCAGCGTGTCAATTTCAGGAAGCTGAGAGCACCCAAGCTCGAAGTTGCATGGCACCGATCATTGATGTCCTGGCTTGTCGTAGATGAAAGGTGCTGATCCCCCACTATGGAGAGCAGATCCTGCTGTGCAAGAAGGCCAGCTTACTCCAGAGCTTGCCTGGGTGCAGCCGTTGAGCCACATTGGGGGGCCATTGCCCTTCTGGTCGTTATGGCTTTGGACAGTCCGAGACTCTGGTCTCCCTTCCCGTAAGCCGATGCACAGCTGCCCCTTGTCCTCTAATCCAGTCAGGACCTCATTTCCGACGCTGCTCCTCGGCAGGCCAGGAGGAGCAGGGTACATTGGCTGGCATTCGGGTGCAGGGGGCCTACATGGTTGGGGTTAATGAGGGTTATACTGTGTACTCCAATGCTATGTCAAGGATGCTCTCCAGTCTATGGAGAGATCAACCGAAATTTCCATCTGGGATCACTTTCAACTTCTGTGTGATAGTCCTGCTCATAGTGGAAGTCCCGAACCCTGCGAGCCCTGAGTCTGAGCTGAATGCAAGATGTGGCAGGGCCGACGACGCTCCAGTCAGGTGGAATTTGGCGTCAGCAACTCTGGAGAGGAAGTTCCCTTGATCTCCTGGCTTGAGAAGAGGCCGGGTTTAGGGTTCAGGGTTCAGACGGCTTCTAGGTCCAATGGCCCGGGTCGCTCAACTAAACTGACAGGGTAAAGCAGTTCGGCTGCATCTTTTCAAGCCGCCTTGCAAACATTCGCTCAAGCCCTGGAAAGGTACCACGATGACTTTCTGGCTTTCACCTCCCGGACGAAGGGCCTAGATCGATCGTGGCCCGACGCCGGAAGCCGATGGTCCCACGACGGCATTTTGGCGTTTGCTTGGCAAAGCAGGGTGACTCTGCGAGTTGATTCAGCCACGTACCAGATCGCCCTGGCCCGGAAGTGCTTGTTCTAGGAGGCATGTTGATTAAGTTTGCAAGCCTTGATGTTATCCCAATCGAAAACACCCGAACGCAGATAAACCTCAGTCAGGACCCCCCAACAGAAGAACAGCAATTCCAATTGCGCGTTTCGGGTCAACGCCTGAAGGCCCTGAACCTCAGCATCACATCAGAGCCTTGGGATCCACACTTCCCCCCAGGGATCAGTACACGGAGCCGGCCCATTGGGAGAAGCTCTGCGGGTGGGCCTCGATGCGCTCACAGACGCTTTGGCGAACTGTCGTGGGTCTCATGCGGCTCGGACCTTGGAGCCAGAGGTTTGCTGGTCAGTGCGGGGCTTGTTTTTATTCTTCTGGCTGGTGTGTCCATGCGTGTGTGTAATAACACCAGGGGACGGGGTTCTAGTTGCCGAGCATTAGGTTGACCATGCCGTGGTAACTCACAGCTTCACAGCCTAGGTACTACCTCCCCGCTCTGGAATGCTTCCATCAGATGGTCAAGGAACGGAACAAAGACTCTGCCATGGCCCCCGTGTGGGATCCAACTGAGGCGGATCATGCCCCAAGCAATGAAGGCAAAGGTTAAAGTTAATAGTTTTGTTAGGCTTCTGCAGTGCTTCGTTGCCAGCAGCTCCTTTTCGCTTTCTGGCGATGCCGGGTCCAGGTGTTCACTTGCATGGTTTCGATGCAGATGTACGCGTTCTTCGAGGACCCAGACATGAACTGTCCAGCCTCAGTCTGCTTTTGAGAGGCAATGTCGTAAAGCTGCACAGGATGTGCAGTACGAGCATACAGAGATCCTGCTTCGGAAATTCCCAAGGACACCCACTGGGCCATGGAGACAATCGGTTTGATCAAAGCCTGCAGCATGTGGATTCTGGTGACAGGAGTTTCCAGATAGCCTTCATTGACCACGAGGGCAAAGGAGAAGCTGCTGTCCTGGACTGTATCCACCCAAAGCAGCAGAGACGCCACTCTGTCTGAATTTACACCGCTGCAGCAGTCCCAAGTCGCTGTGACTCTGTGGCAGGGCAAGAGTCTGCCTGAGACTGATTGCGTGCCATCTTCACGAGTCTTGAGTCTCGTAGGCGCTTTCGTTTTTTTGTTCTCCTCTCTCTCTCTCTCTCTGTCTCTGTCTCTCCCTCCATGTGATTATAGCTCGAGCTGAAGGCTACTACAGCTGCCTGATTGATGAGAGCTGTGCTATGGAGGCGCTGGGTGCCACCGTTGGCTTTGTGCTCCGTATCTGCTGAAAGGATTCCCATGCTGTAGCCAGGCCGAGAATCCGAAACGACGGAAGCCGCGCTTGAAGATCGAGCTGCCAGGTGACTTATCCGAAATAGAGGAGATTGGTTGCATGGAGATCTGCGATCTGATGTGGCCGAGTGGGCTGGCCGGTTGCTGTCACGGGGCTCTCATGTGACAGCTCCCGTCGACATGTACATGAGGAACGAGCAGACCTCGCCGAGGCAGAGTTTGCATGCTGAGGCTTCCCAATACTTGGGGATGGGAAGGGCGACAATCAGAACCACGCGAAGCTGTTCTGCACGCAGATGATCTGTGCAGTTGGCTTACGGTTTCTCGCATCCCGAAGAAATCCGAAGGACATATGATCAGGAGTCGGCCCAAGTCCCAGCCCCCCCCCCCTCCGCCTCCAACAAAAAAGTGTAGTTGTGGGGGTGGTGCGTGGCGCGCGCTTTGGGTTTCACCAGGATCCGGAGCGCAGATCATGTATGCCACGATTGTCGATGTGTGTAGGATTGGCAGGAAGTGTTGCTCCCTTTTTCGCCAAGTCATGAAGGCTCCGTTTGCAATGCTTTGGGTCGGGTGGTTGCACTTCCTACCACGTGCACCTGTTGCTGTGTCGCACTTCAACCCTTCAGTCAGGGTCAGTTCGTAGCAACCAGGGAGCGCGAAGGAAGTCGGATCGCAAGTAGCGGCAGTAATTAGCTGGTACAGAAGATTCAAGGCTGTGCAAATCTGAGGATCGTTTTTTCACGTGGGTCGATCATCCAGGTCCCGTGCGCAGTCTCTCCGTCTGGGGCTCCCTGCCAAGTTCGCCTCCCCCATTATGGCGAGGCCATCGATGCCAACCAGGGTGGATATTTCGAGCAAATGCTGCTGCACCTTGTCGACAGACCTACTGCGCTCGCTCGAAGGCCCGTAAACCCCGGCACTCAGGCTTCCCTGTGCGCTGGGGGAGTTCCGCAGGCGTGACCGCAAGATGGGAGGCCAGCCTCTCAGGATTCAGCTTTTGCATTTGCATTGAGGGTGTGCACTTTTTCTCGACCACTCGAGTCGAAAGCAAGACTCTCGTACGACGAGGCTCTGTGTTATGCATGCATGCACTGTTGAGTGTTGGGAGATCCCAAGGTCTTGAGCCGCGGATCGTGGGCTTCGCAGAGCACATCACAAGCCCCTTGGCTGCAGGTGCACGGAATCGGCGGAGATCGGGATCGGCTCCAACTCCAGCGTCCGGAGTGCAGGTGACATCGGTTCACTCGGTGACTTCGCGGCTGGTGCTGAGACTGCCTTCGGCACTGTGCTGCAACGATCCTACGTGACTTGGAGAACACCCAGGTGATGCACAAGGGCTGACGTAGATTTCAGTCGACCTCTGTACTTCAAGAGCTGTTCACAATTCAGGCTCTTCTGGGAGCGCGCATGCACTACGGACATCCAGAAGCTTGGCTGTGAGGTCACAAAAACCGTTTCAATTGGTATTGCTGGGTTCAAGTTGAGACTGTGCGCCCCTCAAGTCTCTGGTCGCTGTTGGGCCAGACACCAGGCTGTCATACCCTGAGATTTCCGCAAAAATCTTCCGGAACATTGAGGCTCTACAGAGAGATAGCGAAAGAGAGCTCGGATGAGAGAGAGCCCACAGGTGGGTGAATCAGACCCAACAACCAGTGCGCGCCGGCGCACCGAAGCGTTCGCGCCCTTCGTGTCTGTGTGGAAGAAGGTAGGTGAAAGACAAAGTTAGAGTCCGCGCGCCGAGTGTCAGTGGCCCCATGCCACCAAGAAGAAGGCGACATATTGTCATCAACCTGGCCACGCGTTGCAGCCAGAAAGGGCGAGCAACCCAGGACATGATGAACAAGGAGGTCATGATCCAGCAGGGTGGCATCTCGAAAGCCACGAAGACGGTCAACTTGTCCGAGGATCAATCTGGTTAACTTCACAGGTTTGGCTTCGGCTGTGGATTCTTTCTATTGCCGCTGTGCTCCATTTCTTCACAGCTTCTGCAACATACAGAGATTTAGCATTCGAGTTCGTCCCGAATTTGGAGGAAGCATGTTGCCCACAGGTGCCGCAACACATGCTCGATATCAACTGATGCGGCACTCTGCAGGACATATTTGCCGGGATGGACCTCACACTGCGCGGCAATGGACGTAACATTGTCCACCGTGAGCATCTCGACGGCGAGCAGACCTTTCGTAGAGCAGATCTTTCTTTGTTCAGTTTTCATCTTGCTCTCGCTATTCATTTTTGTTCAATGTTTGTTCAGGTACCTGCATGTGGCCAAGGGCAGAGACCTAGGCTTCAACACAGCGTCTGAGATGCATGTGAGAGCTCCGATGAACGGAATGGTTAATGCAGCTGCCATGCAGCCGGTGCAGAAGCTGCCTTCATGATGGAGGCACTCTTGGGTTTCGACGTACTCCTGCCAATCTGCAGCCATCACTTCGTCTTGCCATTTTGCCGACAAATGGACTCAAATGGATGCATGTACCAAGATTCTCACCTTCTTCTCCAAGCTTTCGGCCGGCACGGGCGAGCAGATGCTGACCCGGCAGATGGCACGGCTGGGGAATGAGCTGGCTCTCGACTCAGCTTCTGCTTCAAGAACTGCTTTAGCAGTAGTGACGTATAGTTCGCACGGCAAGACAAGACAAGCTTGATTCGGGCACGACAGGTCCAAAGTTGGGACTTTCAGTAAGAGAAGTCGGATATACCTTAGCTCCTGGCAGCATCTATGTCTGCTAGAACATGCAGACACCAACGAACAGCTTTGACACGCGCCATTCGCAAGACTCCACCGTTGAAGATGCAGCTTCCTGACAGTTTACGCTTCACTGTTTTGAGGACTTGCCTGAGTTTCTGACGTCTCTTGCCAGCAAACAGTTTCAGGTAGTTCTGGTGGCCCAGAGAGAGCGACAAAACCGCCCAAGCAGAGATAATTGGTTGGCCCCAACCAAGTCTTGGCCCTACCTTCTGTCATCTTCTGTCATTCTTTCAGCCCGACTTTGCTGCCTCTCATTCCCGGGAGGCAAAGCCTGCCAAGGTTCTTCTATGCACATGCCGGGTACTACCTGACGCAGTTCTTCCTCTCTAAAAGCCGCTTGCCTTCGTAGCGATTCCCATCCGAGGGATGCAGTAGTTTGCTGCTTAGCAGCTCGATGTAAACATGCATGCAGGCATGCAGACACTTGGAATCTAGACATAAAGATGTGCGTCCCTGGTTTTGACCAGGTTTTGACAATCCGTCTACACGCCTCTTCATCTTGTTTCCATGGCTCTTCTTGTGTGATTCGTTTGAAACTGTTTCTGTCTGTCCTACTGCGGGTCTTGTGCCCTGCTTGCTTGTTTGCTCGCCCTGCCTCTCTCTCTCTCTCTCCCTACCTTATCCGCTTGAAATGTATGCTAGCATATGCTAGCTGCGAGCTGTCTCAGCTACCTGAGCTCATCTGGCAACAGCTGGCGAGAAGGCGACAACGGATGGACGGACAAAACACACTAACTAGCGAGGGAGAGAGGGACACACACACACACACACGAACGCACACACACACA